CTGTGAGTCTCGCCTCGAGTACTTGGATAATCCACTGGGAGAAAATCACTCTCTAAACCAATGATCCACAGAATTACTTTGTCTCTTCTTACACCAGTCCCCGTTCTCGACGCATGACAAATGTACATGCTAGTGAGAAGCGTGTTGGTGTGAGCCACTTAATCCTTTCAGCTGGAGCATCTCTGTAAATATGAGCAATCTGGCTAATGGAAAACAAAACTAACAAGTACATTGAGAACATGAGTAATCACCTACATCCAGTGCACATTTAAAGTGTGTACTTCAGCATGAACGCTGCAACAAAAAAAAAACTGGTAAACATTTATTTTCCTGTTTACTTTCTGAAAGGAATGGTTCTGTTAAATCTACAACTATTAAGTAGTTAGCTTAGCTTAGTATAAAGTCTGAAAACGGGGTTTAGCTCCGTAATACGCACATTATATCTTATTTATGTAATTCATACAAAAAAAGGAGTCTAAAAATGACAAGTTGTGGTTTCTTGGCCAGGAGCAGTGACTTCTGGGAGGCTCTGCTGGTTGCCTAGCAACACACAGTGATGATTAAACAAATTAGATCTACTTTTCAGTCTTTAAGCTATAAGCTAAGCTAACTGTAGAGCTATGTCTTTAGTATTTTAAGGAATATTCTTAAAAGAACTGCTAACATTGTGACACTGGCAGAGATCCATTTAAATCCATGTCAATATATTTTTTTTAGTTCTTGGAGAAATTAGCATGAAACTGTGGGATCTGTAAAATATTCACTAAAATTCAAACTGTGGTTTTAAAGTATGTAACAAACCATCAATGCTTCGATTCAAGCCGGGGATCATCTATGTGCTCCATCTCTGTCCTGTCAGCTTAATAATTGCATGCAAGGCACCAAAGTATTTTTTAAAAATCCTCTCCTACCAAATTATTATTAATATTATTGGGGTTTTTTGAGGTTTTTTAAAATACTAAATATTCTGCCTCAGATATTGACATTTAACTCAAAGGCAGAAAAGTGAGAAAGTGTAAATATCTTAACAGAAAACAATTTTCTTTTATCCTCATATTTTGCCGGGTAATTCTGAAACAAAGTGCCTTCTTCAGAAATATGTTTTTTTTTTTTTTTTTTCCAGTGGAAAAGTACAGAGTTCATAATATTCATATTGTTCAGAATGTGTCATTAGGAAAATTGTTGGTCTCAAAAGAAAAATGGCACTGCTCACATCCACAATTTAATGGATAGACTGGAGGAGGCAAGAAAATGAACAACTGGATAGCCGCCAGCAATGCATGCACATTTATTTCTCCCTCAAAGCCCATGGGGGGCAATGTCACAATTGTCCTCATTTTCCATTTTCTGCAGCTGGTTTTAATGGCTACTGAGTTCTGGCTGTAATGAGACAAGCACAGACTGTAGCATACAGCCAAGATGATTGAAATTAATTTCATGTTCCTCGGAGAGAAACTATCATTTCACACTATTAGCGTGGCTCCAGAAACAGCAGTGTCAGTCGGTCGGTCCGTTGGTCCATTAGCCTGTCAATCGAACACCTCCATGTGACGCGTGAGTGATAGCTCGGCGTCAATTAAATGTGTTGCCTTTTATATTTAGAACATGTGCTGATCCACTCACTTTACATGTGCTGCCACAAACAGGTTTACTTTTCCACTTGTTCAGCATTTCATTTCATGGCAGGATACATGTATAGATAATCAAATTCCTCAAAAAACCTCAGCTGTACTTTGAGACAAATGGTAACACAGTGGTAGAAAGTAGTACATTTACTAAAGTACTGTACTTAAAGCTGCAGAAGGTCATTTTTATAAAAAAAAAAATTTAAAGTCTTATTTGCTGAAACTTTCACCACATCCTGACAGTACTACATGAGCCAGATAATCGTTGATGATCTTACTGCTCCTAATGGCTCCACTCCTGAGTGAAAACAGCCAATCAGAGCAGAGAAAGATCAGAATCAGAATCAGAATCAGATATATTGCACATACGAGGAATTTATCTTGGTGCAATGGTGCTTAAAATATACAAATCACACAAAAATAACACAAGAATAAAGTACTTTTAAAAGTATAAATAAATAAAGATAAGAAAGGTAAGAAAAGATAAGAAGACTGTACAGAAGACGGGAGTGCATTAATGTAATGCATATATATATAAGGTGGGTATAAGAGTCAGATAGTTGATTATTGAGTCTCATTCCCAGGATTACAAATACCATTAGTACTAGCACGAGCCAGAGGAACCAGATTTTTGTATGTACTACTGTAAGAACACAGTGAAAATTTCAGCAAAAGTGACAAAAAAGTTTTTTTAATAAAACTTACTTACTGCAGCTTTAAGTACAATTGTAGTTAGGCCTACTTGTACTTTACCTCAGTATTTCAGTTTTCTGCTACTTGGTACTTTTACTCTAATAACGTCATATGTTTACCTTTAACATTATGGTGTTACTACTTTTACTTCAGTTTCATTTTCATGCATTATTTCCTCCTACTCCTAGAGTTTTTATCACATCTCGGACTGACAGCGAACGCTCTTCTCTATAAGGATCATGCATATATACTTTGTGTCACACTTTTTCATCATACTTTCATGTATTTGTTATGCTTGTCTCTAAAACGTCAATCAGAGACTGCTGCAGCTGAACCAGAATGCTGCGAGTCCTCGCTAAGTGAAACATTAGTTGAGTTCTCAGATCTTTGCACTGGCTTCCTGTGTCAAAGAGTTTACATTAAAATATTATTGTTGGATGACATAGCACTGAATGGTTTTGGGTCATGTTGCATTTCTGCTACGTTATAAGCCGTCCACACCTCTCACATAGGGACTCTCCCCCAGGGCCAATACTAAACAGGGAAGCGGTGTTCAGTTTCAGTGCACCATATATCTGGAATAAACTCCCAGAAAACTTAAAATCAACTCTCAGTTCTTTCAAATAAAGCCATAAGACTTATGTCATTGCCTTTTTGTTAAATCAAATTTGGGAGTATTGCACTATAACTGCACTGGGTTTTTTTATTCTTCTGTTTATTCTGGGCTTTGACAGAATCATCTGAGCTTATTCTCTTTTCTATTTTATTTCATTCTATGTGTCCTTTTATATTGCCTTGTGTTTCTTTTACATCTTGTCTTATAATGGGGTTTTTTATGTCTTATGTAAAGCACTTTGAGTTGCTTTGTCCTTAAAATTTCTTACTTTTTAAAATAAAAAAGTACCCCTGATGCTTCTTTCTGTACAGTGTTTTCATAGTAATCTAGTACAGGAGATGATGGTGCAGAAAAGGCGTCTGATTTTCCGATGTGTGCGTGTATGTGTACCTACACACACTATATATACATTTTACAGTGAATATTGTGGGTGCAAACATTTCCTTAAGGATGAAAAAAACTGATGCCACAAAGAAGAGCTGAGGGTAGAGCTCATGCTGACACAATGTAGTGTGTTTAGAAGGTTAAAGGACCAGTGTGTAGGATTTATTGGCATCAAGTGGTGTAGTTGCAGATCGCAACTCCCTCGTCAGATCCCCTTCCAAGTGCAAAGGAGAAACTGCGGTGTCTGTGAAACACCTGAAAAAAGCAGTTGTCCCTTCAGGGCTACTGTAGAAAAATGGTGGTTGAACATGACGAACTCCATGGACGGCGACCTGCAGTATCTGTAGATCTAAAAGGCCATTATACACTAATATTATAGTCATCTTCTGCCTGCCAATGGTTAGCCAAGTCAGAACTATTGCTCAGCATTGTGCACAGGATAATCATGGCTCTGCAGTGTCATTAAAGTTCTGGAGAATAGAAAAAAGTTCACCCTCTCCTACAGGTGGAGACATTACCAACTCAGAGCTCTGCAGAGAGGCAGACTGGGTTGTCAACACAGCAGAGCCTAAATGAAGAACTGAATTCATCATCTTTTCTCTCATTTATTACACATGATGGATGCTGTTCTTGTACATCTATCTTTGTGATATATCTGTGTTCTTTTGTGTCTAATATGATTATAGTGCATGGGGTGTGGCAATTGGACTCTGGCTATATCAAATAGATTTGAAATCCTGTCAAACCAGTTACACTCGTTCTTTGGTTCATTATATATGTGTTTGTCTTCTGTTTTTGTCCATTTTCACTCCGATACAGCCTTTAGTGTTGAAACGTTTGTCTGTTTGCACAGTTAATGTGTCATCAATCATTGTGTTCTAGTCTCTTCTTTTATTCATTGTAAGTTGGCTTTCCTCAAACTGAAAAGCACCCGATTCAACTGCAAACTGCTGGAAGATGCGTGGAGAACCTTGTTTCAACCAAAGTTAAGCCCAATCTGACAAAGAGGAAGCAGCTGAGTCTGAGATGACCATTAAACCCTTGTGATTAAGTAATAAGATGTCACTTTGGTGGTATGTAATGGCCATGACAACCTCCCTAAGTGCATCTATAGACCTACTTTTAATCTTGTTGTTGCTATCTAAAGGTCTTTTCAACACTTAAATACACTACACCAACGTTGATATCATCACTTAAAGAAAAAGTAAAATAAATGCTTTTAATATCCAGGTTCGATATTAAATGTTAATATTTGGCCTACCATGTTTGACGGTTGTATTCAAAGTCCCATAAATCATTTAATCAAGTGGATGCACTGGAGAGAGACCGTCCTCAAACGGGAACAGCGTCTGTCCTGCCGTCCTGATAAATCATTTATCTGACATCGCTCCTGCGCTGAAGCAAAGCAACTACCGATCAACTGTTCCTACAGAGCAATCACACACAGAGTTTTTTTTGTCATTTAAATGACCCACAACTTCCACCACGTGGTTTATTTGTGCCTCGCAACTTATCCGAGCAGCAGCCAACTTTATTCCCACACTGAGAGTTGTATCTCACACCAACAAGAGCTCTTCTGAAAGTTTCAATCATACAAACAGCTCCACTCATGCAACTTGTATCGTGAGACCCGAACCAGTCGACGCACGGTGCAGCGACACAACCAGCAGCACTCTTCCTACCTTTCCTTCACTCGAGTAGCGCCGAGTGTGCTGCGCTGCTCCTGCGCTCTGGTTCATGTTTCAGCACCGTGGAGAGCTCCAGTCGGGGGAGAGGAAAAAAAGCCAATCAGTCCGCGGATCGATGAGCTGCTGCGGAGAGGGAACACAGAGCAGGTGGCCGACGTAAGGGAGCCACTGGAACTAGTTTACTGGTTCGTCGTCCTTCTCTGTGACACGCATGGGTTCTCAGCCAATGATGCCTTGCGCGTAAAGACTTTGCTGCCGGTGAGCCAGCTGTGAGTGCGAGCGGGCTGCGCGTTCATCCGTCAGTATGGGCAAGTTAGTCCTCAGTGATTGAGACAGCATAACAGGCTATGAACAATCTGCTGCAGGACGCCGAAAATAAATATAAAGATTTATAACCTATCCAGAAAATGAGTTTTTTTCCACCATAAATCCTAAATCATTACGCAGACTTCCTGGCACAGGAATTAACGTTTCTGCAGAAATACAAGCTATCATTCCACGGGGACAGATTGCGTAACACGATAACAACATCTTGCAGCATGTAAAAGCATCATGTTTAAGAGCTGCTGCATGGACACATTCCTTACACTTTGTGTTTAAAGCATGAAATAAATAAATTAATATTTTAATCACTCGATGTTGTCGGCATCTACTTTACCCACTTTCTCCATCATAAAATTATAAGAATTCCCAACAGAGTGACTTTTAATTAATGATACATACACGCATATGGCAACAAGATTGGAATTGAAAGTGTCATCAGGGGAGAAATTCAGCGTAATGTTTGATTCTGTGAGTTTTATTTGATTCTAGAGCTTTAACTGTGAATCAGAACATTTACGTCCCAGTAAAACCGTGGATGTTAATGAGTTTCCTATAACTGTGCAGAATGGATTCGCTCAAAATCACAAATAACCACTGACCTGAACGATATTGTACAAACGTGAAACTTATTTCTTGGTGGAATCCCTTCCTCTGATTCACAGTAACTTTATCAAAACAAAGTGAATTCCACTATCTTATCTCAAACATTTGGTGTATGACAACATTTCTTGTTGTTGCAATGGAGAGAGGTCATGGTGGTTAGACTCAGTGTGAAGCATCTTCATTAAATGCACCACCAAAATATATATTCATTAATGCAGCTCTAATTTATACTGCATGGTCATCTTTGAAATCTGAGGAAATACAGTAGCTGTTTCGTAGCTTCACAACTTGTTAAGTGTAAGTTTAAGATATTTTCTGTTCTGTTACTTAAAAACAACTTGTAAATTCAAGTATGGTGAACCATCAATGATGAACACACAGCTCTTTTAGAAAGAGCACAGTATAATAGGTAGGTTTCAGGAGGTAATTGTGCTAGTTTGCTTTTTCTGAGATTCAGATTTTTTGGTGTAACAGTGTGCATCTATTCCCTGGACCTCTATAGAAAGCTGCTGAACAGTGCAGGTATTTTGTACCATGCAAACCCAGAAATGTATACACCAGCTGCAAATGTATCATCTGTGCACATAGCAATTTATTTATTTAGCTATCATTCCACGCCATTTACTTTTTCCACTCTTTAGTGAAGAAAAGCATTATATACCAGATGTGTTCATTTTGGAAAATACCACTGCTCTGACCAGTGCTCCATCCTCAGAGGTCACAAGCAATTTCCGGTGTTTTCGTGCTCAGATGGGAAGGCATTGCATTTGGCATTTATAGCAAAGGTCTTGGTACTGTATTCACCTTATTACTTAAAGCAGTCTTGTGTTATTATATAAAAAAAAAAAACAATTGTATTACAAGCAGGAAGCCAGCTATGTTTGACTGCTGTGACATTTTAAGATAATTGCATTGAAAAATGCTTCTTTTTGTAGTTCGAAGGAGACAGGAAATGTGTGACAGAGGGTGTCATGCATGTTATACTTTCCTCTTCCGTTACATGGTGATGGTTCAGGGGCTGCCAGCTGTAAACTATCCAACAGCATGCAGCCAGAGTTTGTCCAGGCTACCCGGTGAATCTTGACATCAATAAGTAAAGGCCTCCCTCTCCCGTTTGCTTATCACAGAGCACTTTGAACGCCACTGCTCGCCTCCACTTGAAAGCATGTATTTCGTTTTAGAGAAGAGGAGATGCGACCTTTTGATGCATGAAAGGTCGAGGTGTGATAGGAAACGTGTCACTGTCCAACAGCCGAACACTAAAATGTCACCAGGAAGTGCGGGTCTGTACAGCGGAACAACTTGGAACAAGGCTGAGCTGGTGGGAGCTGAACGTTTTGAATGCTACACACCAAGGCTCAGTCCTTGCTGCAGTGGCCATGGGTTTGAATCTGACCTGTGGCCCTCCCCTCTTTCTCTCTCTCCCTCTTTGCTGTCACTCTTAAGCTGTCACTATCAATAAAGACAATAAAAGCCCCCCGAAAACCTTAATTGCACACTGAATAGGAAGCATAGAATAAATGCTGCAAAGCAAACTGCAGGGTAGCGTGGATGTAGACAATGCAGGTTTAAAACTTATAAAGAACATTTGCTTTGCAATTGTTTGTCAGACCTCAAGCATACACACAATGTGTTTTTTGTGAGTAACACGGAATGTAAAAATAACTTTGTTTGTTTACTCTACAGGGCACCTTTTAATTTTTACATATTTCTCCCCAGTCCATATGTCTGCCAAGTCACCCACTCACCTGTCATTCTTCATCACAACCAGCAGCAGCCTTCAGTTTCCACCAGCTCCAGTCACTTGATTCCCAAACCCACCTGCAAAACACATTTCTTTAACCATGGCTTTGTTCCTCAGAAAGCCATTACAGTGAGCCAGCATGCAATACCAGCACACTAGCTCAACTAAATGGAATGCAGTTATTATTAATATGAATAAGGACTGCTACAAATTACACCTGTTAGTCTCATCTCTCTTCTTGACTCACTAACTGCTCCTACAGCACGTAACAGACACTTTTCTCCATAAACAGCAGCAACTAATTTCAGAAACATATGAATCATTATCATTTTGCTGACAGCTGTAGTGTTGTATGATTATACGTTTATTGTGGGATTGTTAGCAGACAATCTACTTTTTGCTCTGCAGCATTTTTTGAGAGCATAACATTTCCACTCAGAATTTTGACCCTCAAATCAAATGCCACAGTAAACAAAGTGCACTATAGAGTGGTTGCAGACTGTCCATATATAGGCCTCTCTCACAGCAGCTCTCACACAGCTCTCACACAGCTTTGACTTACAAGTTTCCATTCAAATACTATATCCGCATTTTAAATAAGATTCCCAAAAATAAGCAACAGTAAATGGGAACTGTGCGTTTTAATGCCACATAATGTGAACATCAGAAGTGGAGCACAACGAGATAAACACCAGTCAAACCTCAAACGAATGAAACCCACTTTTTGTTTGTTTAATGTATTTATTTGAGGAAGGTTACAGTCTCTGATGATTTGATGTTTTTGCCACACCAAACTTTTTCACTTGTGTATTTACAATATATTTTATTTTCAAATGTTCGCCATTTCCACTCAGGTTTTTTTAATATGTACATACACAAATGCACAAAAATGCATGATGTAGATGCACATAAAAACAGGTGGATGGAAACACACTTATTGTAGCAAAAGCACAGTTGTTACTAATAGCACTAACAATGGCTCTGTTCTATTCAAGTGCCCCAGTAAGCCATGACAGTCTGACAGTGAGCCAGCACACACAATACAGGACCATAAATGGAATTCAGTTCATCATTCATTTTATTAATTACACCTGCGATTTTGCAACTGTGGCTTCTTGCCAGATCATCTATTTAGCTTTCCGAGCCAATAGCTTTTTTCTTCTTACTTTTTCATTTCCTGCCTGTCCTGTATTTTTTTTTTTTTTTTTAACCCTGTCCACCTTTTGACTGCTGGTTTGTTCTGATTGCCTACAAAATCCTGACTTCTGCCAGGCACAATAAAAAAAACTTTGCTTTCAACCTGTCTGCCTTGTTCGTGAGTCATGCTTTTATGTCCAAACCTTGGTGAGCCGTTAAGAGTACTCAAGTTTGTTCTCAAGATGCTTATTTTCTCTGACATGACTCAATCTTGTGAAACTCTTAGTTTTGCACAGGTGTAACCAAGTAGGTGAAAAGGTAAATTAACCTGTACAATATTTTTCAAATAAAATGGGCAACAAAGACCAGCTTCTACAGAAGCAGAAGTTCCAAGAGCAAAATTCAATCTAGCAGTCAGCAGTTCCACATAAATGATTTAATATCATATTGATACAGTTGAGTGTTTATATTTTCTACAAGTGTTGATAATGATACTTTATTGTCATCCATTTGCAAATCACAGAAAAGACAAAAAAAACATTAAGCAAAGATACATACATTTAACATAACATTACAAACACAGAAGACAACATTCAAGACTCTTCAATGTGCTTTTGATCTGGGATTAAGCTCCATATTTAATTTGAGGAGTCATTGCTGCACAAAAGAGTGCTTTACAATTTGTATTCACTGTTCAGAACATGGTTGGGGTCTGAGACAATGTTGCTGTTGTAGGCTGATTTGATCATTGGAGCAGATTTTCATTTGGTGAAAGTACAGTAGTGGACAAACATTTATACTGTGTTGTATCACAGTACTGCAGAACACTCAAGGCTTTCTCAAAGAAAAGTCTTTGTTTTGTCTTTTTGCACACAAATGCAATGTGCTCTTTTGAGGATAACAGCTGGTCTATCATCACACCCAAGTATTTGTATGAAATGTGTATATTTCACCACAAAACGTGCAAATGTTCATTGTTAACGCTGTGTAATAATAATTTGTTTCTCATATATTCAGGGTTTTTTTTTCAAAGCTGCAATCACAGTTTTACTAACAAGATTCGAGTTATATCACATTTGACTCCCTCTTGAACAACATAGGACCACAGTACGAGGAATGTTGATAGAAAAAAAATGTGTGGTGTAGTTTGGACTGAGTCTTGACTCAATTTCAAAGAAGCGTGCACTTGGACTTGGCTCAGACTCAACATAAGTGGTCTTGACCGCAGCCCTGAAGGTAGAGCTTTGACACAAAATGAGTGCACACTGTTTCATGGAGGAGTCACATGCTGGTGCTTTACTACATGGTTGAGCAGGCAGACTTCCAGCAGTCATGTTTTTCCTTTATCCACCTTCAATTTGCACATACTGGGACATTTTTCTTGAATGTTCTTCCCTGTAAAGAACAAAGAAATGTGACTGCACCATCCCCAAGACACTGTTTCATCAAATCTGTTAAAAGAGATTGGCTGCTATGGCGGATATGCTTACAGACAAAGCTCTCCATCCCTACAATAAGCTGATTCTGTGCATTCAGTGCTGCCA